CAAATAATAGTAAACATTACCATTACGTGTAAATACTTGTTGTTTATTTAGATTTTGTTTAGCGTATTGAAAAATATGATTGTTCAATGGTGTTAAATGTTCGTTAATAAATACATCCTTATATCGTTCGATTTGTCGTAATTTTTTCCGTACATCATAAAAATTATTTCTGTCAGTAAAACGTAGAAAACTAATAATAACAGCTTGTCGCGATTTATCTTTACCTCGTTTAGATAATGGCAAACGATGAATAGCATAAAAATCATTTTTGTTCAATTGCAATTCAACACTAACAGCTAATTCTAATACTACATCATACGTATTTTCATTTTGTTTAAATGGTATACCATATAGTATAAGATCTTTTCTTTTATTATACTGTGCTAAGTCATTCGTTTGACATTGTAACAGTAAAATGTTATCATTCACTTTCTTTAATTCAGATTTAAAATCTTCAACTTCATAACGATAATTATTTACAGCTTCTTCAACTACCCTAGCAATAGAGTTAGTAAACAAATCCGAGGTTAGTAATGAATTACACATTTGCTGAACAAAAGATGAAGACGAAAAGATTTCTTTAACCATTTGGGTTAACGCTAAGCTTATGGCATTAGTTGACATTGCGGTTGTAGTTAATTGTTTTAATTTTTTACTAGATATTTGTGATGGTGACGGGGGACTACGCTGATGACCAGATTGCATAAAATCAGTTGTTTACGTTGTAACTGTAATCACATTACCAGATAACACACTCAAGCCAAAACACGTCTGATCGCCATGAAAAAATAACTGAGAATGAAAAAAATAGCACTGGCCCTATCTATCATGTTTGATATAGAGATGTCAGATACTTACCTATAGGACTCGTATACAAAACATTTTAAACTTGAATGAAATATTTTGTGTCCCGATTCGTGTTCACAGAAATCAAAAACAATCAAAAACCAGATAGTAAATAAATACTTCGTTTACTTCTCAGCCTCATTATTCGGATCTCTTATCAATTGCATTCTTACTGCTTGCGCCAAAAACTTGTGTAGTGTCCCCAAGGATATGTATTTAATGTATGAGTATATTAATACTTTGGTAGTGGAAGTAATACTGACCAGCAGGTGAAACATATACTTTCTTTCTCTTTGTGTTCGTTTTACGTATGAGTGAAATATAAACTTATTGTTCACATCATTGGTTTATTGCGTTTTTAGCCATTTATTTCATATTGTCGTAGCATGGCGTGTTTCGACCACCCACCTTCAAATACTTGCTTTCTTCATCTTGAAAGATGAAAACACAAAAGGCCTGAACTGTCATGAAAAAATTCAAGCCAAGATCGCATTTTACATACCTTATTTTCATCGAGTTGTTTGCGTTTAAGAACATTCAGAACTGAGTAGATCATAAAACTTCTTTGATTATTAGCGGTGGTCGGTTATTTCGGTTTCCATTATAACCGAAAGCGATGCATAGCCAATTTGTGTTAGCATTCTATTTGTTCTGACACGACTGCAAACGGAGAACAGAAACTTTTGGAACTTGATCCCGTTCACCGTACGCGTCGACTTAAGCTGTTTCGGTTCCAGTAGAATCTAATTATAAATTCATCTCATTTGAATTAAATTCATAGTTAATTGTCAACATGTACCGTGCACTCGACCGTAGTGGAAACCCGCGGGAGAGTGAAAGATTGGTGCTAGAAAAAGGTAAATAGCGTGAGGAAAAGTGGATACGGTCCTTCAGAATTGCGACGAAATCGTTAATATCCATCCACCTTTATCCCAAAGCGTTCAGGATAGTAAACTACATCTCTTCTCTCAGACTCTTTTAAGGCTTCTTTTGATCAGATCAATATTTATTTGATGTGTATGCAGTTCAGACAGAAGGAAGTTTAATTACTTAATGCATGTTGTTTGCGTACAGTTGCGGCAGCACGTTGACATTCATTTACGATGACACCGAATGCATCATCAGTGCTTTTACCATTGCTCTCTTCTTCTGAAAACACATAGCTTTCGCCCTAAAAGGTCAGCATCAGCGTTGTATTTTGTATATTTGGACAACAGATCGAGCTTATTGCTTTCAAGAAGTTGAGAGAAAGTTCTCGATATACATACGTCCATTATAGTACCAACTGCTGGAGATAATATATGTGATTGAGATAGCGTGGAACAACGGCACTGTGTAGAATAGTTTTCGAAATAATGTGACATGTGATTCTCCTCTTAATATATATATATATATATTTAATGCCTTAGTACATTTATTCGCTTCATTTAACCTGTTTACTTATTTTGTCAGCCTTTGTTGCACAATTGGAATTTTTCTTCAGACGTTTTGGGTATATCAGAAACGAGTCTTTCTTCTCAGAAAATCTATTATATTTAAGGACTTCTGTGTTTTTCCTCAATTGATTTTTACTGTGTAAGAGTCTCGAAATAAAAATGCACAGAAGTGAGAAATGCATCAAAGGTTGATGTTTTTTACAACAATTGTGAGTATCCTGGGCGTAACATTGCTTTGCTGTTAGTAACTCTCAGAATGTAGCAAAGATCAGTTCGGTCCTGTTTGACGCACGGAGATCTTCTCATATCAAAAGTAAAAGAACAAATATACTTTAGATAACATCGGCGTTATCATCACCACAAAGAAGAAAACCAGCTTTCATCATGCTCCCGAAGAGAAAACCGGGTAAAGCATGATGAAAGTAAAAACAATCATGTTTCTAACATCGGAATTAGGCCTCGAGGACATTTTGAGGAGAGGTCTTTCTGAAATGATAATAATTAGTAATAATAAAGTTTTCTACCGTATTTAATGTTTATCGGGGAATGAAACAAAACAAGACGGTGGATAATCCATGACAGCTAGTGCTTTCAACTTTTTTTCTTATTATTTACATGAAATATAGATGATAAACATTAAATTAACTCTCTTTATTATTTTTCTTTATATATGCACAATAGCTAGTACTCATCAGAGCGAAGCTACATCATATATTGCTTTGACAGTTTCGTTGTTTCGATCAGATACACCTAGAGATCTAGATCTGCACAAAATGACGGTCTCTTGAATGATTTTTAATTGTATCTCGGTCATTATTGTGATCTTTGCATCATTCTCAAATTTATTTGTACACAGGTTAAGGGTCCCCCCTTACTTAGAAAAGTCGATTTTGACATAAGCTCATGGGAGAATAGCCTGAAGTTACTAATTTCAGAATCTGTGTTGCTTTCAACCCCAGATGTGGTTTTCCTTGGTTTTCGAGCGAGTTTTCCAGGAGTCTCGGAAAACAAGGTCTTCAAATAATATTTCTTATCAGGATATTTATGCAACTGAACTTTTTTCTGAATAGTTCTGAATAGTAGCTAAACTTGTAGAGCGGGCTTTTCCAATCAAAATAAGACGTCGCACAACCCTGTACGACGTTGCATCAAAAAGTTAGAAGCATTTTCCCAGAAGCCCTAGAGTAGATCAACCATTGCACACCGTTTTCTCTCAAAATCTCTTTCTACGATTATAGCGTTTCTTACTTTCAAAATATCTCAGTCATTTTTCACGCTAGAGGTTTCGGATTGATTTCAAAAAATAGAGAAATGTTTTTTCTATGTCGTGATCTCGTTGGATTTTTCAATTATACTTTAGTTCAGGAGAAATTTAAAAGGTTTCTGGAAAGTTAGAGAGACTTTATTGACTTTTCGAAAATCTTTTAAACTTCTCCTGAACTAAAGTTAAATTAAAAACTCCAACCACGTCACGACATAGAAAAAACATTTCCCTGTTTTTCGAAACCAACCGAAAATTTCTAGCTCGAAAAATGACGGCGGAATCTTGGAAGTACAAAGCCATACTTTTTCATCACTAATTTAAGCATAACTCTGGGAAAACAAGTGACAAGAGGCTTAAATTACTAGGATCACTAAGTTACCTCAAGATACACATTGTCTGTAATTTTCATCAAGACGGAATGTACCTGGACAGAAATAGGTTTCTGGGGGGGGGAGCCCTTAATAGCATCGGTCTGGGTTAAATTTCTTCCAAATTCCATGTGTTTATCACCACGTATTAATTTATGTCTGGGAATGAAAGAAAACAAGAAGGTGGATAATCCACTAACAGCTAGTGCTTTCAACAAGTCTTTACGCCATAGTATAATAACAGAACATTCACATAATTTAAGATTTATTGATCATACGTTTTCAAGTGAGAGTTTGTCTAAAAATGAAATATGGCTTAGCTTGGATATCTTCAAACAACTGATATAGAATCGTAGCAAATAAGCACGCGTTTCACCTTCTATATCCTAATTTTCTCTCTTTTTGAGCGATAGGCAGAAAAGCAAAAAAATATCTATGACGGACAAAATGTTCGTTCTCGTGCACGATAACATGCATCGATTTACTCCATCCTTGAGTGAAGGAACTTAACGTGAAGGGACCTTAAGGAAGTGATGAAGTTTAGTTAGCAGTGCAAAAAAAGTTGTTAATTGAACTTGAAATATATCAATTAGGAGATACCACACTAGTCTTATCAGTGTTAAGCTACCCTAATTGACAGCAAGAAAAGAATTTGCTATTTGATGTTTTGCCTCATTTGAGCAATTGAAAATGCTAATAATGATAAAAGATTACTAATAAAACCAATACAGATCTTCTAAATTTGATTAAATACGTTTTGACTTTACGGGTAAGGTGGAAAAAATGCAAACTTTCAGTGGAATTTATTTTCGATGTGTTGTACACCATTCGATAGAGCTTTGATCGAGGATCATGCATACCACCACCCCGGCTCCCAAAACCCTTTCGTTGCTGAGATAATCGCAAAATACTGAAGAGGTCGCCTTTCCTTTTGATGCATAACACAGCTCCGTAGTTTCTGCGCAAGTTGCCCAATCTATATTTTATTTTCCCAGTAAAGTCGCTCACTTTGCTATTTACAAGGACTGACTCTATTTTATCTGTACTATACCATGTATAAAAAGCAATTTTCGTCGTTATCGGATGAAGTCTGACGGAGAAAATTGACTTGACTTGTCCATACTATTCGCATTTTTAAGAAAGCCTTGGACAGCGTTTCGCTTTAGGAAAGCATTATGGAACAAAAGTGTGGGAACAAAAATTATTCAGCATCAAATTCAGTGTAAAAAATCAAAGGAATTTTCGAAATGTCTTAAACTCGATTTTTAAAGTCCAAAATACTGGTTTTTAAAGTTCAAATTTTTGTAAAATTTAATTTAAAAATTGAGTTTTACGAATTTCAAAAATTTCTTTGGTTGTTGCACGATTTATCAACTGATTCATCAACAATCAGATTTTGTGCTTTAGATTAGTAAAAAATCTAGTCTTCCTTCTGAAGATTTTTAGAAAACCCTGTCAAAAACGAAAGTATTCTCAGTTAATTTTTAAAAGTTCCACTGAAGTCCATGGTATAGTACAGATAAAATAGAGTCAGTCCTTGTAAATAGCAAAGTGAGCGACTACAGATTGGGCAACTCGCGCAAAAGCTACGGAGCTGTGTTATGCATCAAAACGCATCATTTTCAAATGTGTACAAGATGAGATAGTGACAGTGAAAGCGCCAGTGATGAGAGGTTTCATATGGACGCACCGCTGTGTAAGACAAAGAGCAAGAAAGCGTTTGTCAGAAGTTCCTGTATATAGTATAGTCATCTAAAAGTTTTTGCTGCATATTTCTGTGTCCCTTCTTTT